AGATTACATGCAACTGGGAACACACCCAATAGTGGATCGCCGGCATCAAGGCTCGTCATCACCCTTGTGCGGGACAGAAGTGACTGCACATGGCTTAGGCTAAAGGTTGCTGCTGCGACCTCAACTTCTTCTGCTGGCTCATGACTTATGACAGGCTGTCGCATGGACAGTCGGTGGGGGCTTCGGTAAGCTTTCCTCGTGCTGTTGTGACCTTCAGTACTTTCCAAAATACTTTCGAGCAAATCATGCAGTTGCACAATAGCAAGAGCGAATCAGTTCACATCCCCTCATCTCTGAGGCATCTTCCCGAAATTTGGCAGGTTGCAAGCTCTGAGGTCTCAGACTGGGAGGAGGGCGCCCTCGTGGAGGCGGAGTCCTCCGACCTTCGGCTGAGCTCAGCTGAGCTGCTCTTCGCGCATCGTGGCTCCACCAGTGAGGCGGCGGCCCTTCTTCATCCTGGCGAGACAGAGCCGCAGAGCCGCACTGCGGTGTCCATACCATGCGGCACTGAAGACCGGCAAACCAAGGGCTTGCTGCAAATCGCTCAGACTGTCCGACTGTCCTTGCAGCTCTTTGAGAGGACCAGAGCTGAGGGCACCTCGGCACAGAAGAGACGTACTTGACATCTCCCTGAAGTATGCGCGCTTCCGCCGCGGGTGCATTCATTACTCAAAGAGCCCGCAGAAGTGCCTCCGTGTGTGCTGCTGGCTGCATTGCCGGAGTGCCGTTGCGAGATGGTTGCCCCTGTGAATCGCTTTCGGTGATCTTGCCAGTCTGTGGTTGGAACGCACACGTCAGCCTCAAACCATCTCCTTGAACACCATGGGATGATGTGCTTGATCCAAAGTTCAGCAGGAAGTCCCACAATGCCTTCAGCACAGGCTGAGGTGAGATGAAGCAGCTTCCAACCTGCAGCTCGCTCTTCGGAATGGCCTTTGTGCTTCGGCTGACATAGGAGCCCAGTGGCCACTGCTTGTTTGAAGGAAGCCTCAGCGCAGAAACTGCTATGGGCCATCGCCACGGCCCTGAGGCAGCGAACCTGCTGAGGCCTGGACTGGATAAAGCCAGCTCCTCTCCGGCGTCCTAGGAACACGTGCGGCATCGAAATGCCCAAAATCACCGCTGCTGCTGTGAGGCTGTGAGGACAAAATCACTTCCCCCGTTGCGGCTCTGCATTCTCGGACGCACCCACCATGCAGGCTGAAACTCCATAACTGATTTCAGATATTTAGGCAGCCAAGGCTGGGGCCAAGGGCTCTCCAACAGGGAGAAGGTGAAAGGAACACCAGGCAGACCTGGTCCAGGGGCATTGCATTGCCACCTTGGGAGCTCTTTCAAACTTCCATCACCGGGTCTGAGTCAGGCCTACGAGTTGATGGTTATCGCCGTCGGTAGCGTCGCCTTGCAAGGACAAAGCAGACAGGCTCAATAGAAGCCTTGCGACCGATTGCGGTAAGGTCACCGGAAGACACTGTTGCAGGAGTCGTGGTGCCACTTTGAGCCTTGAAGGATCTGTGTGGTCCAAAGACGTGTCGACAGCACATCTTGCTCCGGCTGCAGCTTTCTCAGGGCTCCACGGAGTTGTGAAACTCCTCTGTGTGAGTTCCGGTCCGTGGCGGAGGGGCAAAAGCACCCGAAGCCTCAAACACGGAAAGAATCATGCATGCACAGCCAAATGGCCTCTATCTCTCTCCAGATGTTGTGACAAAGTCGCCATAGATCGCGAGGTGCACTGCATGGGCTCCACGAGACAGGCAAATTGAACCTGGAGATGCAGGAGCTCAATTTAGTGCATCAAGTTGCTGAACGCCTTGGGGCCCTGACAGATCCAAGCACCTCTACGAAGAAGTGAGTCTCCTCCGTTGCAGCTCACTACAGCTTTTCAAGCAAGGAGTGAAGAAAAAGATCCCGTCCGTCTGCCGCACCACCCTTCGAAGCTGCTGGCTGTGCCCGACCTAAGGGAGACCGCAGAGTTCACATCGTCACCGAACAGTGCCCCCCCTGCAACGAAGAAACACAGCGTGCCTGAAAGGGCCCGATCAGAACACCACCGACCTCGAGCAGCCTTCCGTGCTGGAGATTGAGGCAAGGAAGGACAATCGAGAAGTAGATTTGGACTGAAAAGAGCCGCCGCCTGTAGAGGTACTTGGATCTCGAGTTCGCGCAGGCGCCGATGTATATCCGATCATAGCCTGAGTCGCAGCAGGCCGATAGTCCTGATGATAAGGCCCCCGGTTGCTCCCGTTGCTCTAAGACACCAGCGCATGGTCTCGTTCACATTAAGCTGGTAGACATTGCCAGTCGTGAACTGAATGGTGGTTTTACCTGGAGATGGCACTTCGAAGCCGAAGCACGACCACGCCCAGCGCGGAACCCAGCGCGTTAGCGGCCTGGCCTAGCGCAGCTGCACGTTCTTTTGCATGGGCCACGGTCTCTGGCCTTGCTTGAGTCGGCCGTGAAGTGTGGGTCCGGGTCTTGGGCTGGGCCGGGCCCCAGGCCAGATCTCCACGCCGTGGTTGGCTGCATGGGGCCCCGTAAATTCGGACCTGGCGGCAGGCGAACGTAAGAGCGTGCAGAGCGTGCAGAGTGCTGCGCAGCTCAGGTCCCAACACGATGGAGTTGAAGTAGCCCGTCCCAGATCCTGAAACAAGTGCACAAGGGCAAACGGGTCCTCACCGTCCGATCGACCCGTGGAGGCCCGAGCCGATGTTCAGGAAGGACATGCCAGGCCTTGCAGAGAGCAGAGCGGAGCAGAGCGGAACACAGCGGAGTTCTGACGGACTTCACATCCACTCGAAGCTCGTCACGATGGTGCCGGGAACTGTTGCAGCTCTGGTGAGGTCACGGCTGGAGAGGCATAAGAGACTCCAACGCCTGGCGCAGGACAGCCGGTCTTCGAAAAGGCCCTGAGACAACTCCACACATCACACATCTGCACGCATCTCCGCACCTTCCCATAGATGTGTGGTGCGGACAAGTGAAGGCGGCCGTGGCGCCTGAGGCTGTGAGCCGAAGCTTTGAGGCGCTTCCACCCTTCCCAGGCCCCGGGCAGGGGCATGTCGGCGTAGGCCAAGTCGCCTCCCTGAGCTGGCCAGAAGTGTCCGCGGTCGATGGCCTCCCACAACCAAAATACAAAATGCCTCCCTGAGCGAAAATGCTCTGAGGATTTTGGGGCTTGTTTTGCAATGGTTAGCGTGCTGTGAACTTTGCCGTCAGCAGGGCACGGAATAGCACACCTTCCAGGCACGGCCAGCTTTCGCTTTCGGATACATTGCGATACATTCAGAAGAAGTCAGAGACCTTCACACAAAGGCGTGATCAGCTATCTGACATCTTCAACACGCAAACGGGCAGACACAGGTACAACAAGCGTCCCTGCGTTTTTGCGTAAAAGACTCTCTCCGCCTTGAAGGCATCGATGCACTCCGTGCTCCGTAGCGCATGGGAATCCTTAGAGTCTCGGCTCTGATGCTCTGAGTCATGTGGAAGTCCCGGATCTGCAACCGTGTGTCGACAAGCTCGTCGACCATGGCCTCGTTGTTGGCATTGAGTCCTCTCATCTCCTGCCGAAGCTTGCAGGAGAAGCTTTTGAAGCACTGCTATGGTTTTGCCATGCTATGCCGCAATGACGGATCAGCTCTGTGGATGCAGACTTTCTGTGCAACATCCAGAGAGCAGAGGTGGTTCCTCAAACCTCTGTCGTCCGAAGTGGAGCCAAGCAGTATGTGGATCGCCCATCTTCTTCACCTGAAACAGAGGACAAAGGCAGGCTTGAAAAAGAGACACCAGGCAGACACAGGATGAGCTGCCTTCACAAGGCGCGCAAGGGGGAATCGAAGCTGCTGCCTTCCGGTTGGAAGACCTGCGACTATGTACCTGGATCCGATGCAGGAAACGACCCAGTGATGATCGGTGGCATTGCACAGCTCTGTATGTAGTGAGGCTAATGCGGCTGAGGCTCAAAGCAAACCTCGCCCCCAAGGCCACCCGGCAATCGCGATTGGCCACTTGAGGAGTGCGCAGCACGGATGCTTCAGAATTGATTGTTTGCTAAAAACCCCACCCTGTAGTTCACAGCACGTTTCGCAAATTCAATGATCTACACACGAGTTACTAGGCAGCTTGGAAGACCGTAGAGGCGCAGCTGCCGCTTTCCCAGCACACTCGCACGAAGCGGAAAGTAACACTTACGTTTAAGGCTGAGTAAGCTCCAGCTCTGTCAGTGCTTCTCATGCTACATATTCACACCGCGGTGCGCAGCATCCAACCGAACTTTTATGTTCGGCAACTCGTCGTTTATCTCAGCAGGCTCCTCCATGGTCACGGAGGGCTGCTAGGAAGTCGCCACATCGAGAACGCATTGAAGTCATCTCTCAAGCAGCCGTTCAGAGCTTCGGCCCATGGAAACCAAACCGGAACGAGCCCCTCTGCGGCGTGGAAGCTGCATGGTGGCTGGAGCTAGTCGTTCGCAGCGATCTCGAACTAGAAGGCGACACGTAGGCTGCATCTGTCAAAGGCTAGCATTTAAGCGGCATTATCATAGCGCAATAAGGCAACAAGACTCCGACGAAGCAGTGCTCTTGAGAAAATGGGGGATGGAAGCTTCGAGGGCCTGAGCTCTTCTTCTCCTCATGGGCATGGCGGTATGAGTCTCTGCCAACCAGTGGCCATACCTCACGCTGGGCACCGGAAGGTGCTCAGCGTTCGGTCTGCTGGCGGTAAAACTGGACAAAAGCCAAGAAGCTCCTTGGCATCTTGATTCGGTAGCATGCGCTGAGTCGCCTATGCCCATTGATGACGCTGCGCTATTGCCTGCATAGCCCAACTAGAATCAACTTCCACATGCGCAGCCTGTCTTCAGAGGGCAGGGGCGAAAGGTCCATTAAAGCACACCCCTCCGTCCGCCCGCAGTGTTCAGATTCAACGCCCGGGAGGCACCCAGCTCTGCACCACGATTTCAGCGCATCTGCAACATGCGGGTGACGAGATGACGAGACGCTTCACTTCCTTACCGACGCCCCAAGACATCACACGTGCATATACAGAACGATGTAGAAGATTGGATACATCTCTGAATGCTTCACAGGAGCTCGAAGCACGCCTCGAAAGTTTGCCGGATGAACGCCTTGTCCAAATCCTTTCCTCAGGCGGTCACTGGCCGTGACTTTGCCTTGTGACTCGTGCTTGAAACGGAGCCGAGATGCCGATGAACACCATTTTGGTTATTCGCTTCTCTCCAGGGGCCCATGGCTCTGCATCATCCTCGTCGCTGACGTCCATCACCGCATGAAAGACATGCTTGTATGGGTGGTTCTTGACCGCGAGGATGCCTTTTATCCGAAAGATCACACCTCTGGGGCCAGGGAGGTGAAGCTTCGGCTCACTTTCATGAGCACCAACTGCCCGCACATGCCCGCCCAACCTTGTTCCTTCGGCAGCTGCCCGAGATTCTCCATCAACTTACCCAGCTTTTCAGGCAGAACTTCTCCTTCCCGTACAACGGCGAACGAGTTGACTCGGCTGTCGTGCCTGTTGTGCTTGGTCCTGAGCATTCACCGCATTCACCCAACGCCTCTGAAGGCCAGCGCCAACGAGATAGACCGTCGAAACCCAAGAATCGATGCACTTGCACTTGCACGGGTCCCTCTATCCAGAAGCCGGTCATTCAGACGAAAGCTCCGAAAGGCCAGGACAAAATCACAGACACACACACACACACACACATGCCATGCGTCTTGCGCTTCTTGGTGTTATGCCCGTGCTCATCTGAGTGCCCGTTGCCGTGACCGTCGCTGCCGTGGCCGTCGGAATGCCCGTGGCCACCGGAATGCCCATTATGGCCGTGGCCGTCGCCGTGGCCGTGCTCCTGACCAAGGCGCATTGTCACAGCAGTCCAGTGCTGTAAGCTCTGTTAAACCCTTCCTCATGCGCGTGGCTCCTCGGTGCAGTCGGCATCATGGCCGTGGCCTCCACCGTGTGACTCATGGCCACCGTGTCCATCGTGTCCAGAATGCCCGTGTGCATCGTGTCCATCGCCATGGCCTGTCACAGTTTATCAGTTTTCCCTTGACGTCGGAGAGTGAAGGTGTGTCTTGCCTTCGTTTTCTTTGGCCTCCAGTTCCTCTGCCTCCCAGATCACAGCGGAGCATTTAAAGACAACACTAAGACAACCATGAGCTGGCCAAGGCTTCCTCTTCTAAAGGCCTCTTTCTCGATATCGGCATTAATGAAGTTTGACATATCCTGGAAAGCAAGCACCGCAGCTAACTAAGCATGATGGCTAGAGTTGCCTCGCATGCCTCGCAAATGCCTGTACTGTAAGGCGAAAGCATGCGCTCGCAAGTTGGTCAGCTCGGAAAGCTTGACCCTGCCCTTGACCTGCGCAGGCCATGCAAGGCATCGCTTGCAATACAGACTTAGATCTGCAGAGCCAAATTGACTGACTCCTGGCATTTCATAGGTGGCTGACGGAGGGCACTATTTTGGCGAAGGCGTTGATTTCGCGTAATCTCTCCTGCACAAGTGCAACACTTGTTAGTCTGCTGGCTCCGCTTCGTCTTTAGTCATGCAAGACATATTAACTCCGAAGAGCATAGACCTGTAATCTCATCTTCCTAAGCGAGAGAAGTCCAGTTTGGGCTTGCTTAGTGCAGGATATTGCAGGATGGCAGCATATCTTTCGCGCAGCATCTGTCACATCTGTGCCCATGTCTGAACCGTTTCATCTGAATCTACTATCCCTTCAGTTACACAGCACCACACCAAACTATCACAGACGACCCCCCAGCACACCCAAAGCACCTTCGTGCTGATGGCCTCTTCTGAGGACACAAGGTCGAGCTTGTTCAAAAGAATCTTGTCGCAGAAAGCCACCTATACCAGACCGCAGGAACTAGAACTGTTGGATGATCGAGATGCAGAGCGAAATGCAGAGCTGCACCCACCAAGGGACTGAAACTGCCACTTCAGAGCACAGCGGACGCAAGCCAGCAAATGCGAACAAATGCTGGTAAGCGAATGTCGATGATCTTTGAGTTCGCATGTGTTGTCCACAAAACCTGAACCTGGGCTGATGCATGGCAAAGCTCGTTCCTCAAACAAGAACACAACGACGAGTCGGAAGAAAAGAAGCCTGCGGTGAACGTGACACAGAGCGCTGCTGTCTTCAGTTGTGGAGATGCACGCTGCGGCTATGTTGCAGAATGATGTTGGGTCTGCTGTGTGTTGTACTAAACCCTTCAGGGGAAAGGGGAGAGGAGGGGTCCTCAATAGCCTTGTCCTCATCGAGAGCTGCCTTTCGACTTGATCACAGGATAAGGCATAACAGGGTTGAGGGAGGCCTCCCCTCCGCTTGCTGACGCCTAGATTCCTGATGTATTATTAGGAGCAAGGGCCCCCTAAACTCTCTTTCGACCCAAAACCAAATCTACAAACAACAGCTTTCGTGACAACAAAAGCCCTTGATAGCGAAGACAACCCGTACCACGACGTCACCTGCTGGTAGGCTTCGTTGACGCGACCCTCCTCAACCTAAAACAGGGCCAGTGGGCACTTGCACTGCGCAGACTCTCATCAGATGTGGTGCAAGCAGGACACCTCGTCGTCTAGTCTTTTCAAGATATTCTTCGCATCTGCAACTGTGATGACCTTAGTGTTGGCACCAATCAGCACGGTGGTTGCCAGTTTCTTGTCTCCAATCACTCTGCGGCACTCCATCCAGTCGCAAGCGAGAGTTGATTTCCTCTGAAGTCATGAACCTCGGTGGTACACCGCTGCAAAGCAGAAACTATCTGCCCATGTGGGACTGCATTTCATTTGCGCTGTGAGCCCAACGTTCGAACTATCGGAACTGGATCAGCCATGCCTGGCAAACCGGCCATAGCCGAAAAAGTAAGAGACATTCAGCCTAGTCGGGAATTTTCGAGGCCTGTGGTCTCGAGCACAATCTGGTCAAGATGGTGGCCCTTCTCAAGTTCGTCGAGAATCTGCCTGCATGCGATTTCTCCAAGTGACCATGCGAAATACAGATTCTTGCATCGCCGCCCTGTGGACTATTGCAAGGCTTGCAGAGTGCAGCGGCTTTTTCCACTCCACTGAGTCTACGCAGTCCACACATCCCCTCAACGAAGGCCTGAATCCATCGATGAGATCACCACGAATGGTGCAGCACACGCAACCTTTCAGCTGCTTATCTTTCGCGGCCACTTCCGAATGTGAGATGCACACCGACTGGCATGGTATTTTCAAGAGTGGCTCTGATTCTACAACAAGTAAGGCAGCTGCCATTGTCCATAACCTCTGTCAAGACGACGAGACTTACTGGTCAAGAACACTGCCGAGACTGGGGCACTCGCTGCCATGAGTGCTGCACTGGGCCCCGTGCTACAACCTTCTCAGCGAATGCAAGCTTATCCTGCCAGAGATATTGGAAAGCAAGACTCGATCGCAATCCGATGCTTCATGCCGGCGACATGCTGCACTTAAGAGAGCTGTCGTCACACAGTCTTGCTCTCTCCTGCAACTTAAGTTGATCTTCAACCAATGTTGAAGCTAGACAGAACAGTCAGACCGTATGTGGCACCTTCTTCAACAGTGCGTCGTCGATGGATATTTCTCCGAACCTCAGAGCTGCACAAGCTGCGTCGACTTGGCCCAGGAATGACAAGCTGCCGATTTAGTTCGAATCGAGTCTTCGCCACACCTTCACTCCAGCACCAGCTTTCCGAGACACACGCTCATTTTCGATCACCGCAATCTTCTTCTCTCGCTGCTCCTGGCAGAAGGTGCTGAAGCACGTGTCTCGCACAGAGTCACTTCTGCGAAGCTTTGTTGCTTTGAGCATGCGTTTCCTTCAGTATCACGTGGCTTTGCACAAATTTCGCCGAGGTCCATGGGCTTGTGCTTCCGCCCCACTACAGTAGGGAGCTACACAACCCAAGACATCAAAGATTTTGAGGCCATGCTGATTCGCATGAGTGTGCTCGGTGGCACCTAGCGTAAACTAAGGAAATGTGCGAAGCACCAACTGGTCCGAGAACTTCGCACGGACGGCAGAACTACCGGACTACGTTGCGACATTGAGCGACGACATTGCGTCCCAGGAGCATGTTGTTGTTTTGGTTTGGCCTTCGCCGAAACAGATGTCAGGGGCAGTTGCCGCTGCAAAAAACTCCTCAAAACTGGGCAGTGCATTGTTCTTCCACAAGGACATGAGCCTGAGATCGGATGCAGATGGAAAGCAGTACTAGCGTGCTAGCAGAGCCCTGTTGACAGTCGAAACCTGGTGGCAACAAATATTACAGCTGTGCACATGTGGCTTGGGCAGTACCAGCATGACCATGGACAAAATCCCTCCATATGCTGCAAGCACAACCTAGATCTAGCACTGCACCTGCAAACGACAAGCAGGTTCCGTCCCAGGCACAACAGGACAGAGTTCTTGATGTGGCGAGTTTGTTTCTGCGCATTCGCTGCGCCTGGCTTGACATTAGGAGCATCGCATTCGGTGCACACTCCATCGAGCTTGCCAGAGTATGCGTTGTAGATCGGGCTCGCCTCATGGACTCACAGGTACACTCACAGCATGGGCCATGAAGTCCTGAACTTTTGTGAACATGCTGCTCAGTGAATGCCACGAGAGACTACTGCAGACTGAGGTGCTGCTGTGGGAGCGTTTGGATCTTCACCGAACTGAAGGTCGACCCACAAGCAGCCAAAGCGCTCTGAATAGCCCATCTCCCACTCAAAGTTGTCCATGAGCGACCAAGCCATGAAACCCTTCATGTTCACTCCATCCTGCAAGACAGCGGAGACCTTCAACCTCCCTTGATCCTTGAACTCTGAACCGTGAAAGGCGTCGACGCGAAACCCTAAACGAAACTCTAGAACCTAGTCACTAGACTCACTGGACACACAAACCCTAAACCCCAAACCTCGACTGCCTGGAAACCGCGCATCTCAAATGGACTTTTCCGATACATTTGTGTGAACCGCAGCAGCAACAGGCACCCACAGGCACAGACACACTTCATGCCTTCACAGCTGAATCCCGTCTCTATGCACAACGCCACTATGGAAGGATTAGACTAGAGTCCTCGTGGATGGCATTGTACATCTCCAAGATATAGGTGTAATAATATGTCAATCGGCCCCAATCTTGCTTGGACTCGAGCGCTGTCTCGAAGCCATCGCTCCAACCAGATTCAGTTCCCCAGATCTCGAGGTCCGAACCGTAACGATTCTTGATCCAGTTCAACAGCTTCCGATAGCCCCAGGCTGCCCTATACAGCCAAGACGATTTTCCCTGCGCAAGATCGCCATTCACTATGACGTTCTTGCCATCCTCGAACTTGGCGTAGCCTGTTCCATAATGGTTCAAGCCAAAGAAGTCTGGGCGATGCTGCTTCAGAAGCTCCTTCTCTTCATCCGTGAAAGATGGCATGTATGGAAAAGTCGAACGCATGGAGTAAGGGTAGTCGAAAACACCATCAACACCGTAGATCGGATCGCAGAACCAAGCGAGCTGCCGCTCCACCTCGTACATGGCGGCAGCGATGTCCTCCTTCTTGTCCGTGAGTGGCTCCCGCCAGTCCTGGTTGTTGGTGATGAAGATCCGGTGTTCTGGCGTGAGAACCCCCGAGGCCTGAAACTCCCTGAACTTCATGACCACACTCAGGTGGCCAAGGATCACGTTGTGGCCTGCCACATACGGCCAAATGTCCATGTCCATGTACGGCTGCGCCGACGGCGCTTTGCCGTATCCACTGGCCAAGTAAGTGAAGGTGTACGCTTCGTTGAAGGTTGCCCATAGTTTTACCTTGGACCCGTACTCCTTCAAGAGAAACCTGAAAACAGGGCAGCAATGCAACACACCTTTCCCTCCAGCAAGTTCCAGAAAAAGGGGCAGACTCCAAGCAATCAAAAAGTGTATGTTACACTTTCAAGGTGAGTCTGAGGGGCTCCGCATAGTTGGTGAACTCTTTTACGATGTTGGACTTGAGCCCACTAGGCTTTGGCTTACCGCCACTTTCCATGCTGCACTCGTACCAGCCCTCTTTCCCACCATTGCAGGGTTTCTGCGGTGAATCGAAATCAAAGTCCATCAGTCCTGGACCAGGCATGTCGTCGGGGAGTTTTACACATCTCAATTTCTACAACAAGCAATGCGAACACAGCTTGCGTCCTTGTGGCAGATCCCAATGATACATAGTAATGATGGGGGTTACACCAGCAGCGATTAGCTCGTCGAGCAAGCTGTGGTAGAAATCCACACCTGCCTGGTTTACGCCATCTGCAAAGGTGCCTGTGGGGACGATGCGAGGCCATGCAATTGAGAAACGATACCACTTCAAGCCCATGGACTTCATGGTTGTCACGTCATTCTTGTACATATGATAGTGATTGTTGGCAACATTGCCCGTGGCACCTTTCACAGCGATTACTGAGTTCACGGGGCATGGAGCCTTCTTGCACACAGCACCCGGCATTCCCACGGTGTTGGCCCCAGTGAAAGTGTCCCAAATCGAGGCTCCGCGGCCATCTTCGTTGTACGCTCCCTCAATCTGATAGGCTGCCGTTCCAAGTCCCCAGGCAAATCCCTCGGGAAACTCTGGAATTGGCGCCCAGGGATAGTTTTTCGGATACCTCAGGATTAGACGTCTTTCCTTCCCAGCGCACATGAAGAAGACAGGTCATGCACTAAGTGTGCAGTCCAAGTTGCTCGCCCATCTTATATGGTAGCGGCCATGGCGGGCACTCTTTAAATCCCCGACACTCGTCCCCGCGGGTCAGGTTTTGATTGAGCTGCATAAGCTTGACTTCATCGGCCTGGCAGCGTTCTAAGCATAGGAGCATCATATGGACATTAATATGGGTTAATGATGATTAAGGCTAACTCTGAAAGCAACCCCGCGCCTCGCACTCCTCACTGGAGGCCAAGGTAAGCACACCGAGCACGGCACCTCGCTGAAGGGTCTTACTGCGGGTTCTTCACAGGTTGATTTTGCTTTGCCTTCGTAGCTTGCTGGGCGTTTTAACATGACCCGAAGGCATCTGTCAGGGCTTGGATGCCTATCTTATCCGTCGCTTCGCTTCGCACGGACCTGGATGTTGGGCTCAGTGGGTCAGACTGTCATGCAAATTCTGAGTGACAGTCGTGGCCAGGCTTCTGAAGCTCTCCCAGGAGAAGATCTTGTAGCATGCTGAGAGCTACTCGTGCATGTCGCGATGACTGCCGCAACTTCGACTTTTTATGACCGGGAGTATGTCCAGCTAGTTCGTGATACTTCCGACCGCGGTGCTTCCAGCGACATCGAAGCTCACTTCAGCAGCTACGGAACCGATGAGATCTGATGGAAACAAGCCGCATAAGCGAGATGCCGAGCGCACCATAGTTGCCATGGCTGCACACCACGACTAGCCTCGACTTGAAGCTGCAGTTGAGCCAAATGGAACACGACAGAGATCGTACGCAGTCCCAGCTACCAGTCAAAACCATGTTGCCTGGCTGACAATTTATCCTGGAGCCTGCAAGAGGTAGTTCAGGAGGGTTGTCTTGCCGGCTCCCAGGAAGCCGGTAAGAATGGTGACCTCGGCCAGGTGTCCTATTGTACCCCACCGTCTCGGTGCCCTTGCCAGACTTCCAAGGGCGACGCCGGCAGTTTCTTCGCGTCTGGTATCTTTGGGAAACTCCTGTCTGGCTCTGGCTCTCAAACAGAGCGATGTAGCGATGCAGGAAGATCTCGCGGAGGCATGTCTCAGCGCGCAGCTTTGGTGCCGCGACTATATCTCCATGAATGCCGAAGGTGTCCCTGTGCAACAAAGAGTTCAAGGGACAACTGCCGCAATGAACACCGGTGTCTGGAGAACTTAGACCGGGCGGTGCTAGCGCCTTCAGATGTCGGCTTAGCGCCAGGCCCATCCACGAAATGTGTTCCCACTTTGTCTCCAGGATTTAGGGCCTGGACTTCTTGTCCCGCAGAGTGCATCGCAAAACGATATCTGAACATTGTGAACTCCAAATTCTAGACTCTAAACTTTCTACGTGAACCGAAAACTTTCCAAAGTCGGCCGTTTTCTTGCGCAGCCCCAGATAAGACAGTCAAGAGCAAGAGCCCTTGCAAAGACTGCGGAAGGGCGTACATCATTGTCATACTCGACGAGTCGGCCTTCTTGTTGTCCTTCGTGTTCCAAAGCACCTCGGATCAAAAAGATCAGGCTCCGCACATGTAGACAAGATGCGACATGCGACAGGACCCCTAGGGTCCTAGGGCACGTGCAAGCATTGCATGCCCATGCAATGGGTGGGCGCCTGAATCTGGAACTGGACGGGTTCGTCCGACTTCTCACAGACCTCTTCCACAAAGGCCTGTGCCGTCGTAGTTTAGCAGGAAACTTGCTTTGATCCCAAAGCTATTCGTGCCTCCACCTTCTCCATCAACTCCATGACAAGAACCTCACTGACTATTGTGAACGGATAGTCCTCGCGGGAGGCAGCGGGAGACATTACATCCATGTGACCGCACCTCACGCAATCGGATGCATAGTTGTCCATCCCGAACCGCCTTCATATTGACCGAAGCCAGGCAGGCCGGCAGCTTCATTCCCGGATGGAACCAACATGTCAGCGACTTAGTGGCCCAGGAGTTGGGAATTGGAATGGAACACAGAAAAACCACCAAAATCGAAGTCATGCCAGTCGTACCATGAACAATGACTGCCATTCGTGCTATGCACAATGACTGCTTGTACAGATTGTCACTAGCCGCCTTTGCTTAGGAACAGGCGAGATTTGCCATGCGCCTCGGCTCATACAGCTCCAACTGGAGCACATGCTGACATTCATCAAACAAGGCTTCAAAATGTCATCAGGTGCCGTCATTGCTCAAGAGATATCCTGAAGCAACGGCCGTCGCGCAGGGCGCCGGCAACGTGTGGAAGGTGGATCAGACGTCAAGCTACATGCAAGCCGAAGTGGCGAGCCGGAGAGCCGCGACAAACATAGCCCAAGAGACCTGCCTTGAGACCTTACAACCATCGATCGACGGCTGAGCCCCTCACCAAGCAATCGTACAAGCAGAACAGCGGAAGCGCAACACTCCCTAGTAACTTGCGTGGGCAATGCGGAATGATGCAGATAGTAACTTCTCGTAACTTTCTCGTAAAGAGAGAGTCCCTATCCACCCGGTATACTATACCAGCTTTTTGACGCAACTCTGCTGAGCACATGCTCCACGCGCTTCCGCGCTGTACTCGCGAAGCTAACATCGCGCAAGCTGACAGTGACACCAGCGCGGCTGCGCAAAGGCCTGTGCATCGTGGGAAAACACCTTGGCAGGCCTTTAGACCGTGTCACAGTAACTTAGTATTGCAATGGAGGGAGAGCACTGGAGCACAACGCCCTCCTTGTTGCCAGTTTCACAGACTACAATGAGCCACTGCTACCGAAACGTGTGTTCGTGCGAAGAGACGCTGCTACCGGTTCTGCGTGGGTTTTACATAGCACAGGAGTTCAAACCAATTGATAGCCTCACATTATTTGGGCAGCGTCAGTCAAGCCTTGGCAGTTTCAGTCCCGAGCACAATTGGCAGCTTCTCATGTGTTCATAGGACTGCAAAGTAGTGCCAAACCGTCCACCAAGGCGAAGCAAAATCATTGCAATCTAACGCGCGGCGCCCGGGACTTGCACCTTTTAAAGGGTGCATGTCTCGGAGGGCATTCAGAAATTCTTCCAAGTGCGGCTTCAGGCCTTCTCTGCCTTGGCGGGTCGTACGCAACACACGCTCTTATTGGGTCAAGAACCCTGTAGCTTAACAAGATGCATCCAGGAAACGCCCATAAGGTAGGACATTGCCTTTTGCATCTGCATGTTCACACTTGCAAACTCCTGACAAACAATCAGAGCAGAGTGGTCCAGACGCTACAATCTGCAAGATACAGCAACTCGTCTTGGCTAGTCGGGTCCTTGTTCGTGGCCAGTTCCTCCTTGGTTACAGTTTCTTTGCTGTATGCACATGCACCAATGTACGTGCCGTTCGGACAGGATTCGTGGTAACGGACCACGGCGCGCTCGATGTCTTCGGAAGTCAAGTCGAACTTCTCCTCAACCTTGATCAACGAAAGCATGTCGAAGGACACTTCTGAAAACATGCGATGTTTGCACACTTCAGCCTTCGCACCAACCATAGCTTGCGCAGTGAGTGTCACGGTCTTGCTGTCGTAGGTCGCCTGCTTCTGGCACTGCGTAAGAAACATACTCTAGCAGTTTTCGCATCCAGCGCACCTGGCTCTTCAGTGATTTGAACTGCTGAACCAGTTTCTCCACCTCCTGCGAAATGTTCACCACTTGTCTTAAAAGTGGCTCCTAGGTCCATTCCCTCCGTCGAATTGTGAAGGAAGCCCAAAAAAGGCTGTCAGCCTTTCCATCGCGGCCGTGTTCGTCTGCTATGCTTGTCCACCAACTCACCAACAGCTTCTTGGAAGCTCCCTCACTGTCAGTGTTGGAACATATTCTGACTCATCTGCCCATGCGACCGCATGCGACCATATTCTCTCGTTGCTTGGTCCTATGATCTGATCACCGCCGCTGCTAGCTACGATCCTCATCGAACTCCAACAGCGGATCATGCTACTTGATGCTAGACTTCTCAGGCCTTGCGACCATCCTGGTCAACACTGCGGCCCTGTTTGATGAACATGGACGCTTTGTGCGCACGGCAATCAAGCGAGAAGGCGTGCAGCTACCCATCCTCGAGCATGTACTTGTGGACCTCAATGACTTTGTCGGCTGAGACCACCGGCACCTTGCACACCAAGTTTCAAGCAGTCTAGCTGTCTTGTCACATCGAGGACTCGGGCCCTGAGCATGTTGCTCCTTTCGCATGTCGGCACAGACTATTACCATTACTCTTGCTCTTACTCCTACTCCGACTCCTACTCCCCGTCTCCTCTTCCCCTTCCTCTTCTGCTCCCTCTTCCCTCTTCCCTCTTCCCGCTTCCGCTTCCGCTTCCTCTTCCTCTCGCTCTAATTCTTCTGTCCTCTGTCCTCTGTCCTCTGTCCTCTTCCTCTTCCTCTTCCTCTTCCTCTTCCTCTTCCTCTTCCTCCTACACCTACACCTACACCTACTCCTACTCCTACTCCTACTCCTACTCCTACTCCTACTCCTACTCCTACTCCTACTCCTACTCTTACTCTTACTCTTACTCTTACTACTACGATTCTCTTACTATTCCTTTTTACTTAGTACTGATTCTTTTGGGCGGCCCTATGCAACTCTCCGTATGAACTCAGGTCTGTGAGAAAATGACGGAGGAGTGTGCTTGTGGGACTTTCTTGCACGTTGGCAACCTCACATGTGATGGGGGGCTGTGACGTGAGAGCTCGAACCTCTTGGTTGGTGTACGTGCGGGCTGTGGGCTCGAGCACCTGTGTGCAGTAGGTGCTTTTCAGGTGTAATATCTTCCGCAAGCTTTGAGAATGGAAGGCTTCCAATGTGTTCTAGTCTCCCGCTCTGCGCGCTGCCGATTCCAGCCCATCTGTAACAAGCCGAATGAAAGCCGCATTGTAAATGCGACGTTTCCACTTCAGCGTGAAGTCAGTGTTGCTCCAGAACCGATGCAGCGTGTGGAAATTTTTGCGTGCTTTGGCAAGTCTGGTAGTGGCGTCTTTGTGGGTGGAGCCGTCACTGCTAAGTGTGACGCCAAGGTCCGTGGCGTGGTGCTCGGTTGTGAGTGGGGTGAAGTTGGTGAAGTGGACCGTGTCATGTGAGGTGGGTAATCTCAACAGAACACATTTCTTCAGGTTGAGGTGCAAGTTGCTGTGAGCGGCCACTCGCTGCATGTGAAGTAGCTGTTCTGCTCGTTGTGCTGTACCTGTTCTGAGTGCTGTATCGCCCGCGTATGCTATGTCGTAGAAGGGTTGGTTCTGGCTGTACAACCAGAGAGGAATCCTCCGTGGGCTGTGAGTTCCTTGTCCACGACGTCGTGCATCACCATCCCATGAACAATGAGGAAGAGTTATGGCGACAATGGACAGCCCTGTCTGATGCCTGCTTGGGCTTCCGCCTGTGTGCTCTGCTTGCTGCTGCTACAGCGACTTGTCTTGAAGTGTATATGTTTTTGATGAGTGCTGAGGAGCGCAGGGACGCCGAAGCTATCCAGAGCTGTGAGAAGAGCGTCTGGATGTATTTTGTCGAATGCTCTCCCGGAGCAAGATGGTGTAAAGCGATTGTCCCGTTGCTTCTGCTCGCTCGATGAGGCGGCGTATGCAGACGAAAAGGCTGAGCACAGAGGCCTAGCCAATGAAAAGGAATCAAGACACATCATCGTGTATCTTAGCATCGAAAAAGTGAAACATACGGCTACACTTCAAACAATTTATCTTAGGACCGGTTACTAGCAATATTTCTAGGTCCAGGTCTATTTCTATTACCATTACCACCACTTCTACTCCTCCTACTTGTACTTCTACTTCTAGTACTAGTACTAGTACTACTGCTACTGCTACTGCTACTGCTACTGCTACTGCTACTGCTACTGCTACTGCTACTGCTACTACGACTCCTACTACCACCACTACTTCTTACTTCTACTACTACCACTGCTGCTGCTGCTACTACTACTACTACTACTACTACTACTAAGCACCTGGGCTCGAACGACGAAAGTTAGTGTGTGTGTGTGTGTGTGCGCGTAGAAGTAGGCTGCAGGATGGTGCATTCACACCTTCTTTTCCTCCTGGCCTACCTTTTCCTTCCTAATCCTCATCCCTCCTATCCGCAAGCCGCTGGGTCCAAACCTCCGTGCTTGGCCGAACTGCCCTGGACTGGGAGGCACGAGCCTCAGCCAGTACTGCTGCACTGCACATGGAATAGCAGCCGGAAACCGCCATGCCCTTCTAGACCTCCTGCCTACACCTGCAGGCTCAAGCTGTTGCCTAGTCCCACCATACGGGCCCTAGCAGTCTACCGTGGACCTGCCGAATCATGTCGCAGTCGCCCTCTAACCAACCTATCACATCGTCTGGATCGCCTCCACCCACAGCGCAGGCCAACCTTGCAGAGACGCTGGCCAGCTTACATCAGACCCTGGATAACGCGATCGTCAGAGAACGCTACCGAGCAGGACTGCACAACCAGGTCTGGAACACCAACAACTGGGATAGCATTAGCTCAACGACGGCCACAAGGACCGGCCCCTCCCAGACCAAGGCAGAGCCCCGGGACACTCAGAAACCTCTGGCTCAGCCAGGATCTCCGGACTCCGTTGACACTGCGGACCTCATGGCGGCAGCGGATGAAGCAGAGAGGACCCTCGCCTCTTTGGCAATGCCCTCTACCGGCCCTACTGTGCCCACTGGCTCCACGCTTTCACTGCGAGCTCGATCAAGATCCCGCTCCCCCACAGGCGCGACGGCCACCACCACGGCCTCAGCCTCAGGTCCAAGCTTGCCGTCAGACAAGCCCTGATGAGAGATGCTCTAGCAAGCCCACCCGGAAGTGCATCGCTGACCAGAGACCAGTCACAGCAAAAGACCGCCACTGGCTTGTGTCCTCCAATAGTACACCCAGCCTCCCTGAGAGTCACCCCCACCTACTCTACCCCTGCACTGGCCCAGGTGACTCCGCTGCGTGGACAACATTGCCTGCCACCCGAGTAAGGAACAGTGCCGGCTGGAGTCACCTCACCTCTGCCCGTGCACCCAGGCTAGAGGAGTCCTCGCCTGCGGTGGTCTGTCCCTCGGACCAGTCTGCGGAACTTGCCAGTGCTGCCGCCGACAGTGACTCCCGAATTGCTGCC